TCTTTCTTTCTTTCTTTCTTTCTTTCTTTCTTTCTTTCTTTCTTTCTTTCTTTCTTTCTTTCTTTCTTTCTTTCTTTCTTTCTTTCCTTTCTTCCTTCCTTCCTTCCTTCCTTCTTTCCTTCCCTCCCTCTCTCCTTCCCTCCCTCCCTCCTTTCTTTCTTTCATTTACACATAACAGCAGAATGAATTACAAATAAGACTTTCTATCTTCCACCATCTATCACCACTGAATCAGACTCTTTTGTCCACCAGATTTTACCTGACTGTACATTCCTCATTGAATGTAAACATAAAATCAGAAAACTTTCTTTGGGGTCTTTGGGTTTTCATCTTTGGAGGCTTCTGTGTCTTGTAAAACTTTCATTAAATAAACTTATTATGGTTTTCTAAGCTCTATTTGTCTTTTGTATAGGACTGTTGGCTCTCTTGGGGTGAATGAGGAAAGGTATCGTCTTTTCTGCCCTTGCAAAATAATGCCTAGCTCAATATGCTATTTTTTAAAAATTATATCCAGTGACCTTTAAACTATGCCAGATATATAATAGGGACTTTGTATCAACCAAATATCAATCAATCAGTAGTATTTATAGTTTATGAGTGTATTACAGACCTATAGTTATTCACTATAGTTTTAGATATTTGCTTAGGCAACATTTGATTACATTATTTGACAGATGATATACAACAATTCAAGTATATTTCCCAAGCCCTGAACATAGAGCTATATGCATTTGCTTTCAAACTAAGTTAGTAAATATAGCTCTTTAAGTAATATAACACAAACATACAATGCAAGAATTGAAAAATAAAAACTCTATGCTTTCTTACAAAGATGTAAAAGAGTAGTAAAAATTTATAATAAATGCAATTTTATTTTGACTAAGCATTCAAGTTATCTTTATATTAGCAAAATAAAAGAATATTTCTACTTAATTCTATAATATAAATTATCATCTTGTTTAACTATTGCCATTTCTTCATCTTAACAGCTGTTATCCAAGGCCAATATTGATTTCTTTTTCTATTCTAACATGTGGGTTCAAAATAAATGACTAATTTTTAAAGACATATCCTTTTTTTCATAATAAACTCAGGTTACCTTTCTGAGTTTCCAGAATAAAACCAAACAGGTTATTAGATAAGATGGAGATTAAATGGAACTGTTTAGCCTTTTTAAATCTGGATCTTATTAGAACCAAGAAAACAGGATCATAAACAGCATAAGGATAGCAGAAAAAAATTACCATCTGTTCTTGAAACAGAGAATGAGTGTTATACGCCAGCTATTGAAAAAGTGATACTATCAATACAGTATATCGGCATTGAGTTGAAGGAAGAGTTAAACTGACTTTAACTTTTTATGGTGAATAAACTACTATTTTTTGAGATAAGGAAGAATGTGGTGGAAGATATGTAGTAAAGTTCTCAATCAGAGAAAACCCTAGAGTTGCATGTTAGAAGATTTGTTTTGTCATGGGAGAAG